CTCTCTCTCCGACCCTCCCCTGCTCATGCTGTCTCTCTTTCAGAAATAAATAAAACATTAAACAACCTTGGGATAAAAACATGCTGCTAAAAAAAAAAAAGAATCAATGTATAGATGGGAAACCCACGGCCTTTGGTTCTCAGCTAAGACACGTGCAGCCTCAGTTTCCTCATCTGCTGGGGTTGGTGATGCATACCTGGCCGGTCCCCGATATTAGTCGCTGCCGCATGTAGCTATTTAAATTAAAGTTTGCATTAAAAATAAAATTAAAAATTGAGTTCCTTGTCAGGGCACTTGGACACGAGGCTGATGGCGCCCATAGTGGACTGCCAGGTAGCTCCCACAGCTGGATGGCACTGCCACACACCTTTGAAGGTGGCCCTGGGGTTCAGTGAGATGAAGTGTGCTTGGGCGTGCTGAGCGGCGGATGAACAGATGAGATGTTGTTGAGTCTAGTTTGTGTCTGTGGTTTTTTTTCTTAATTTAATTAAAAATAATTTTTAACGTCCGTTTACTTTTTGAGAGACAGAGTGTGTCACACACAGTGCGAGCGGGGGAGGGACAGAGAGAGGGAGAGAAAATCTGAAGCAGGCTCCAGACTCTGAGCTGTTAGCGCAGAGCCTGGTGTGACCATGAGATCATGACCTGAGCAGAAGTTGGATGCCTAAACCCACTGAGCCACCCAGCCGCCCCTGTGTCCATGTTTTAAAACTGGGTGACTCAGGGGCACCTGGGTGGCTCAGTCGGTTAAGCGTCCGGCTTCGGCTCAGGTCATGATCTCACTGTTCGTGGGTTCGAGCCCCGCGTCAAGCTCTGTGTGGACAGCCAGCTCAGAGCCTGCAGCCTGTTTCCGATTCTGTGTCTCCCTCTCTCTCTGACCCTCCCCTGCTCAGGCGCACGCTCGCGCGCGCTCTCTCTCTCTTTCTCTCTCTCTCAGAAATAAATAAAACATTAAAGAAACAGACTGGGTGGCTCAGTGGGTTAAGCAACCGACTTTAGCTTAGGTCATGATCTTGTGGTTTGTGGGTTCAAGCCCTGTGTCGGGCTCTGCGTTGACAGCTCAGAGCCTGGAGCCTGCTCAGATTCTCTCTCTCTCCCTTTATGCTCTGACTTTTTTCTCTCAAAAATAAATACACGTTAAAAAATATTTAAAACGTATTGAATGCATAAGGAAGTAAAGTGTATTTTATTATCCTTGAGCAGATTTGTGGGCCCTTGGTCCAAGGCGACAAAGGTTGGGAAAGGCCATCTTGAGATGAAAATTTGTTCGGATGACTCAAATCCCGCTATCTGGAGTTGCATACAGTTTAAATTAAGAGAAGCCAGATCAGAGTTTAGGAGTTTGCTTGGCTTTTCATCCATTCTCTTACCTCTTTTTCAATAGAGGGTAATGGGAGGTCAAGTTACACCAACGGGTTTTCCTGGTCTCCTCAAGGACAGCGTTAGGTGAGCGTGAGGCACCGGGGCCGTAGTGGCCGGTGACACAGTGGGGCACACGGGTTGCTGGACTGTGCCCGGCGTTTGCACGCACGACTGGGTGGCCGAGTGGAAAGTGCCGTAACCCGGGCCTGTAGGTTTCCTTGTGGAGGTGGCAGCATACGGTTTCTGGGATTATGTGATCGTGGAAGCACCCGCATGATGTGGTTGCAGAGAAATCTGGGGGCTGCTTTCCCGAAAGTTGACAATACTCGGTGTCCATTCAGTGAGGTTTTGTTGGCTTGTTATTTCATTCTTCTTTTTTTTTTTTAAAGTATTTTTTAACGTTTATTCATTTTTGAGACAGAGCAAGAGAGAGCATGTATGGGGAAGGGGCAGAGAGGGAGACACAGAATCCGAAGCAGGCTCCAGGCTCTGAGCTGTCGCACAGAGCCCGATGCGGGGCTCGAACTCACAGATTGTGAGATCATGACCTGACCTGAAGTCGGATGCTTAACCGACTGAGCCCCCCAGCCACCCCTGGCTTGTTATTTCATTCTTGAAGAATGACCCAGGAATGTTTCCAAGTGTGTCTGCAGGCAGGTTTGGTGAAGGGCAAGGTGGTGGAGGGACTTGGGAAAGGGCAGAACTGAACAGCAGAGAGATCCTGTTTTATCTTACCATCTTTTTGATCGAATTTCTTTTTTTTTGTAGCTTCAGGCTGCTGGCAAAGGCCTAACTAGCAATAAAAGCAAGGACGACCTGGTGGTAGCTGAAGTCGAGATCAATGACGTGCCTCTCACGTGCAGGAACCTGTTGACGCGAGGGCAGACTCAGGATGAGGTGGGGAGACCTTGGGCCTCTTTGGTGGGGAGGGGGGAGGGACAACAACAGGACCTGGGAAGAGTCACATGTTTATCAGTGGGCTTGGGTCATAATCTCCAGAGTTGGGATTGGGTTGGAGTGAAGGCGAAGGAGCCGAAATGGGTGGGCCTCGCGGGTCAGCTTGAGCAGGAAGTGATTTTGGGTCCGGTCGAGAGCTCCTCCCTGTCTGTTGGTCGGATGAACAAATGGGGAGAATCCATCTTTTTTTTTTTTTTTTTAATGTTTTATTTATTTTTGAGAGAGAGAGACAGCGTGAGCAGGGGAGGGTCAGAGAGAGAAGGAGGCACAGAATCGGGAGACACTCCAGGCTCTGAGCCAGCTGTCAGCACAGAGCCCGACGTGGGGCTCGAACCCACGAACCGTGAGATCATGACCTGAGCCGAAGTCGGACGCTTAACCGACTGAGCCACCCAGGCGCCCCGGGGAGAATCCATCTTGCTGCTTGTCGTCGAAGCCGATCACCTGCCACATCGTCTTTTTAATAGAACGTTTCCTTTTCAGATCAGCCGACTTAGTGGGGCCGCGGTGTCAACTCGAGGGAGATTCATGACAAGCGAGGAGAAGGCCAAAGTGGGGCCAGGGTGTGTACTCACTTCCTCCGCTTTGGGGAAAGGCTGGATACAGGCTCACGTTAGTCTGTTTTTCAGTCCGAGGAAATGGGCGTAAATGTCTGGTTAGTAGCTTGCGAGATGTACACACGTGCTTCGTAGTAGAACTTGGGGACCATCTCAGACACGTGTAAGGGGATCTCTTCGCCTCCCTGCCGCTCTCTGATTTTTCATTTCACAGGTAACGTTTTCTTAGCGGAATCCAGCTACAGGAAAGTGTAAAATAAGACAATTGCTGACGTTGAACATACGCACTTCTAAACTTTTGTATGGAAGTATTTCCCCAACAGAAGGGCGTGTGTTTTGTTGTGCTCTCTGTCTAAAAACCATCCTTTCGTCAGACTCTACGCTGTTTCCACATGGCTGGATTATTCATATAAACATCTCCCCTTGAGTTTCACCCCTCTGGTTACTCGGTGTTGGGGCTGGCACTCAGCAGTGCAGCACTTTCCACACTGGCCTAAACTAAGCAGAATTAGGAGGCGCAACTTGCTCCCCTACCGGAAACCGTATATTGCACCTGTGTGCATGCTGCTTGCACCCTTTTGGACATTTTTGTCTTTTTTTTTTTTTTTTTTTCAATATTTTTATTTATTTCTAGGAGAGAGAAAGAGAGACAGCGTGAGCAGGGGAGGGTCAGAGAGAGAGGGAGTCACANTTTTATTTATTTCTAGGAGAGAGAAAGAGAGACAGCGTGAGCAGGGGAGGGTCAGAGAGAGAGGGAGTCACAGACTGAAACAGGCTCCAGGCTCTGAGCTGGCAGTCAGGACAGAGCCCGACGCGGGGCCCGAACCCACGAACCGCGAGATCATGACCTAAGCAAAAGTCGGTCACTTAACCGACTAAGCCACCTAGGCGCCCCATGGACTTTTTTGTCTTTAAACAGAGCTATTTTTTGCTGACAGCTTATTATGAACCGTATGGTTATTGAAGATCTAATCTGTGATTATAATCAAGATGTGAATCTAAGCCCCCTTACATTTAGAACCGAGAGTCCCTTTGGTGGTGGGCCTCACAGATGGGTCTATGTGCTGTCGCTGTGGCCCCGTTCGTGTGGACAGGCAAGAGCGTGTTTGCGCATCACCTGCTAGACGGCCCGTGGGAAGGAGTTCCCGCCAACAGCAGGCTCTCTCCGCTGACTAGATCCCAGTGCTCAGGAGCCCCTAAGAGCAGATTTGATCTCTGTGTGGGCTGCGTAGCTTGAAGCAACCAGAAAAGTTTACCCTCAGCTGCAAAAACCGTGTTCTTAGAAGTCAGCAGCAGCCATTTCTGTGAATATAATGCCTTTTACTCACTTGGAAAGAATGTGTGTTACAAATTTGGTGACCCATTTTGTTCCTTTGGTTATGACCAGTTTGGGATCGTCATTTTGTATTTCTCTTTGTAGGGATCGTCCACTATACCTTCACGTTCAGGGCCAGACACGGGAATTAGTGGACAGTAAGTAATGTTTTGGCTCACTTCTGCTTTCTGTGAAGGGGAAAGAATAGGGCTATATGTAATAAATTGGCAGAATGTTCCTGGCTGTGCTAACTCATGTGTATGAGCTGCTTATGAATGTGCTGGGGTTTAGAGAGGCTGAGGGCTACGTCCTTGGGGATCCTATAAAATGGATTAATACGTGGGTAGCTGAGCCTTGACCTTCGTCACTGGCTAGAGTATTCATCTCATTGGTATAGTGTCTCCCTCTGTTTTTCCACAGGAGCCGTAAACCGAATCAAAGAGATTATAACCAATGGGGTGGTTAAAGCCGCCACGGGGACGAGTCCCACTTTTAATGGGGCGACAGTCACCGTCTATCACCAGCCGGCGCCCGTTGCGCAGCTGTCTCCTGCCGTTAGCCAGAAGCCGCCCTTCCAGTCGGGGGTAGGTTTCGTGGAGGGGCCCTTGACAGCTTTGTCATGTCTGTAAAACCGACACGGGCCAAATAATACGGGAAGGGCGAAGAAAGTAGAAAATCCTGAAACTCTGACCTGCAAGTTCCCTGCTGGTGCCGGCTTGCGGTGCGCGGGTTGGAAAGGGCGCTGATGGAGCGGGAGTGTCCAGTGTCCGCCGGGAAGCTGTGGTTCGGTTCTGGTAACAGGGACGGCAGCTGGAGGACCAAGAAGGCGGAGTCTGGTGAAGCAAGACTCTGCTGATACAGTCCTCCTAGAGAACGGGGTGGGCGAGAGCAGCCCTCGCTGGAGGACATGCCGCGGGGCTGACTGCGCGACCCAACACGCCGCTTGCGCACCCCAAGGACCGCGCTGAGGCCTCTTTCTGCCTTACGGCAGTCTGGGCCGTGGTCTGGGCCATGCGTGCTCCCCGAGCCGGGAGTCTTTGCTTTTCGCCTGTTTTGCTGAGCGGGAGGTGTTCATGTTCAGGGTAGGTGCTTGGCAAGGGCAGGTCTCACTTACGTTACCGTAGGAGTGCCGGGGGCTCAGTCGGTTAAGCATTTAACTCTCGACCTCGGCTCAGGTCATGATCTCAGGATTTGTGCGATCAAATCCTCAGCATCGGATCCCGTGCTGATAGCACAGAGCCTGCTTGGGATTCTCTCTCCCTGTCTCTCTGCCCCTCTCCCCTGTTTATGCGCTCATGCGTGTGCGCACTCTCTCCTTCTCCCTCTCCCTTTCAAAGTCAATGTAAAAAAGAACTCAAGCTACTTTATAAAGCTTATTTTCATAGGCTCGTGGTAGAAATTATTTGGAGTCCTTATTCTGACTCCAGAATAAGATTAGAGGCATCTGGAGGGTTAAAGTCTTGTACGTTATACTTTCCAAAATTAAAACTTAATTATATATTGCATTTAATCTGAGGTATTCTGTTCTTCCACAGATGCATTATGTTCAGGATAAGTTATTTGTGGGTCTAGAGCATGCTGTGCCCACTTTCAACGTCAAGGAGAAAGTGGAAGGTCCAGGCTGCTCCTATTTGCAGCACATTCAGATCGAAACGGGTGCCAAAGTCTTCCTGAGAGGCAAAGGTTCCGGTTGCATTGAGCCAGCATCTGGCCGAGAAGCTTTTGAACCTATGTATATTTACATCAGGTACGGACGGATGGGGCTGGGGACACTTGAATGCTTGTCAGCGGATCAGTACAGGCAGGAGTAATTCAGACGGCGTCAGGAAACAGGTCTAATAAACCGTAACCTGAGGAGCTTAGTACCAGCAATAATCACTTTGTAATTCGTTAACATGAACGGTTGAAGTAGGAGGTGGAATTGCCTTTTGAAGTGTTCAGGTTCTTGGGTTTTATACAATCGGACCCTAAAGTAGCTGTGATGAGCCTAAAATGACCTTCATTTAAACCTACCACAATATTTGTATAATTTACAGGCGTTTTTTTAGTGACTTTTAAAAGTTATATATCAAAAGGTACAATAATCAGATTAATAAAGCGTATGTTTCAGTGGTACCGATTTTATTTCAAAGGGCTTATGTTTGTGATTTTCAGTGACTCAGATTTGTGCTACATAAGTGTATTAACCTTATAAGCAGTATACAAAGTGAAGGAAGATTCTGTAGCCTTTATTTTTCTCCTTTTTGAAAGTTTTGGTTCTTCCTTCTCTGCAGTCATCCCAAGCCGGAAGGCCTGGCTGCTGCCAAGAAGCTCTGTGAGAATCTCTTGCAAACAGTGAGTCTGTTCGTTCGTCTGATATGACTGGGGCTGTGTCTGAGCCCCTTCCCCCCTGCACTGGTGTCCGAGGGCTGCCGTATCAGGGTCCCACCAGCTAGGTGACGTAAGACAGCAGAGGTTTTTTCTCTGTTCAGGGGCCAGACACGCAGAATCCACACGTGAGCAGGGCTGGCTTCTGAGCAGCGCTATGTGGGAGAATGTTCCATGCCTCCCCCAGCCTACAGCCCTTTGCATTTTTGCCTCGTGTCAGCAGAGCTCTGTTCTTTGTCCCGATGACACGTGGCCTACTCCTGCCTCTCCTAGTCCATCTGTCTCTTGGAAGGACAGCAGTCCTTGGATTTGGGGCCCGCCGGAAACCAGTGTGACTGCATCTTAACAGCGTGTGGTCACAAAGACCTTGTTTCCAAATAAAGTCACATTCTGGAGTTTTGGGCAGACAAGACTTTTGAAAGGACACTATTTAAACCACCACACCGCTCTGACCACTAACATTCTAAGGAAGTCACGCTACCCTAGCAGGTCCCAGCTGGCGTGCGTTTCTTCTTTAGGAGCTGCTTCCGTATGGAGTTTTGGAAATCTGTAGTATGTCGGTATAAGATCTCAGTGTCCTCAGTTGTTGCTGTTTTAATTTTTTTAAAGCTTTTATTTATTACTGAGAGAGCATGAACATGGGAGCGGTAGAGAGAGGAGACAGAGAATTCGAAGGAGGCTCCAGGCTCTGAGCTGTCAGAGCCTGAACTCACAAACTGAGAGATCATGACCTGAGCCGAAGTCGGACGCTTAACCGACTGAGCCACCCAGGCACCCCAAGTCCTCAGTTGTTTAAATAAATGATACCTTTAATCTTGGTCAGGTTGTTTACTATGGGCACCCCAGATTCTCTTTAATAAATAGTAAGTTTAGCTAAAGTAAGGTTGGAAGGCGGAACTGTAATAGTTTAAGATCAATCGGCCGTGCTCTTGGGCTAATTGCTTATTTGATTATTCTTTTTATTTTGTAATCTAGTAACCAAAAGTTAAACCGGGACGGCTTTCTTGTAGCACCTGATGGAAATCAGGTTTGGGGCTGACCCCTCAGCGTTGTGTTATTTGATATTTAAGGTTCCAAACTTCTGTGAAATTGTTTTCTTTGCTTTTGTGAAGTAACCTGATTTGCCATCCTTTGCACGAGATAACTCCCCTGACCACACCCTGGGCTTTGTCTCCGGCGCTGCTTGCAGTCACCGACTCAGTGGGCCGCCCCACTGAGAACCGGGTGGGGGGGGGGGGCTGACCCTGTGTGGAGCCTTGAGCTCCTTGAGGACAAGTCCAGTGAATAAAAAAGTGAATGAATTCTCAGTAGTTACACTGGCGACTTAGGAACTTCCAAACTTCTCTGTTTGTGTGGCTCTGAATGATTTTGTACCTCAGTTGGGTCTCGTTTGGGGGATTTTAAGTACACTCAACGTGAGGCTCAGATTCACATCCTTGAGATCAAGAGTCACACACACCACCCATTGAGTCAGCTGGGTGCTCTGTTCCTTATTAAGATTTAGATTAAATGAGTCTAAAGTGGGTTGAGATATCAGTGGAAATATTTTAAATCCTAGCTGCTTTAGCCCTAGAATGGTAGAATCAGACCCTTATAAATAAACAGTCCGTGAGTTGGGACTGTCCCATATGAATTTGTCTTTCTTCTCTTGCAGGTTCATGCTGAATACTCTAGATTTGTGAATCAGATTAATACTGCTGTACCTTTACCAGGTGTGTATGTCTTAAAGCGTTCAACGAAAATAAATGTTTTGCTAGCGATGTACATGTGTAAAATAAGATAGTTATTAAGTCTAGGCTAGGTGTGCCAGGGCACTCAGAATGTCCCCTCGACTGAGGGTGATTTGAGAAGCCATTTGTACCTCAGTAGTGTTCTTCCCTAGAGAGTAAGTTAATATTCAGCTAAAATGTCTCGTTCTGCTGCAGCTGATTAAACACTTTTTTTCTTCCCCCTCAGGCTATACACAACCCTCTGCTATAAGTAGTGTCCCTCCTCAGCCACCATATTATCCATCCAATGGCTATCAGTCTGGTTACCCTGTTGTTCCCCCTCCTCAGCAGCCAGTTCAGCCTCCCTACGGAGTGCCAAGCATAGTGCCACCGGCGGTGTCACTGGCACCTGGAGTCTTGCCAGCATTACCCACCGGAGTCCCCCCTGTGCCAACACAATACCCGATAACACAAGTGCAGCCTCCAGCCAGCACTGGGCAGGTAGGACGCCAGCACGGGGGACACAGGCCGCCGGGCAGGGGAGGGGCGCGGACGCGGCGGCCTCGCTCGGAGAGAAATCGGGTGGGATTCTCGTGGAACGCTCGTCCCGTGCTCCTGGCGCCGAGCTGCCCGAATGCTGTGGGACCGGCGCCTTCATCCTCCCGTGGGTGGCTGCTTGGGTGTCCCGCGTCTTACGGGGAAACAGGCGTGCGGAAGAGGGGCTGGCGAGCTTCCTCTGGGACGCTGGCCGCCGGCTCGGTTGGCGGGGGCGCGCGCGGCCCGGGATGATGCCAAGTGAGCGAGCGTGGCTGTGCGCCCGGACTGCTCAGGTTGCGAGGGTACCAGGGCAGCGGTCGTAGTTTGCCTGCTCCTGCGTCCGTGAGCAGGGAGCCGGCCCTCCCCGCGGTGCGAACGGGGTCACTAAGCTTTGAAGGAATCTTCCATAGGCGGGGTTCCCAGGCCAAGGGCTGCGTGAGCTCTGCCAGCTTCAGGGTCACAAATGCTCTCACGGAATTCCCGAGCTGTCAGAAACTAGAGTTTTTGGAAAGGGTAGGCAGCTAGCTCATCTGGACGGATGGTGTCCAGCCCTCCCCACCTCAGAGGGCAGGGGGAGGCTGGGGGGGAGCGCACGGTGATTGATGGCAGGCCCGTGTCCATGGGCCTCTCGGAGTGGAGCCGTGCCAGAGGAAGCGCAGCCCCGAACCATTGCCCAGCCTCCTGACCCGTGGGCTGTGGGCACTGAGGGGGGCTGGACAGTAGGAAACGGCGGAAAGCCTCACGGAGCCCTGGTGGTGACCCCGAGGCCTACGCCCGTGCCTCGTGTGTGGCAGAGCCATGCTTCCCCAGCTCTGAGCGGCGCCGGCGCGTGGCACGGCGGTCCCCGCGGGCTTGGGCTTGGGAGGTAGGCCCCAGGGCTCCTCCTTCGTTCCAGGGTTTGCTCCAGGTCTTTTTGGGATATAATTCAGCCTTTCCAGGCTTTGGTTTCCTGATAGAAAATGGGCATGGGGCGCCTGGGTGGCTCAGTCAGGGGAGGGTCTCTTGGTCTTGGCCCAGGTCTCAGGAGGGTCATGAGTTCAGACCTGAGTTGGGCGCTGCCCTGGGTGTGAAGCTTGCCTAAAAACGAAAAAAAGAAAAGGGGCATAATGATAACATCTCCGAGGTTGCCAAGGTTAATTGAGGTGACCCAAGCATCATCAAGTACTGACTGTTTGATAAGAGTTGTCCTTTGAAAAGTGCTTACTCTCTCTGTTACGAGCTGGGTCAGTCCTTAGTCTTTTATGGAAGAATCTCTTAAAACACTAGACTCTCTGTTGCTATGACAACTTACCCATGGAAATGGCAGATGGACTTGCCTTTGCCATGT